CAACATCAGTAAATGCAAGGTGCTTTCCATCCGACATCAGGGCAGCTACCCATACCGACTCGGAACGGATGTACTGCAACAATCAACTCTCGAACATGACTTGGGTGTCCTGGTTCAATATGACTTCGGTTGCTCCAGGCAATCCGAAAAGACCTCGAAGACCGGGAACCAACACGTTGGGCTGTTGAAGCGGGCGTTTGGACAAATAAAAAGCTCCATATTTCGACAAATGCTCAGTGCGTATGTTCGCCCCCATGTCGAATATGCAATTAAAGCCTGGCATCCATGGCTGAAACACGACCTTAATGCACTGGAGCAGCCACAACGCCGGGCATCTAAGAACGTAATTGGAATGCGCAATCGTTCCTACCAGGAGAGGCTGAGACGACTGGGATTGTTCAGTGGAAGCTGTCGCAGACTACGAGGCGACCTGATTATGGCATACTTGATTCTGCGAGACCCACATCATGTGTGCCGCCCTTTACTGCAACTCAGCAGCAATACAAACCTGAAGAGCCACTCATTAAAACTCGCAGAACAATACTGTCGTCTGGATTGCCGCAGAAATTTCTTTTCCATTCGTGTCTGTCACCCGTGGAATTCTCTCCCAGAATCGGTCGTCTCTGCACCGACACTAACAGTATTTAAAAGACGGTTGGACGATGCACTCATCCACTTACACTTTGTTACTTAACACTACGTCTCCATCCTACACCTGGAGTTTACCATGGAAGTATTTGTTGTTAACTGTGGATGCTGTGAATCTAAGAGGATCGCAGGACTGCAGCGAAGCAAACGATAAGTTCTTCTTTTCATACTTAAAGTATTAACTATTTTACTATCCTTATCATTATTGTTATGTTGATATCCCCTGCAACTACCCAACAGGACTTTTAAAGCAACGCTTCTTAACCCGTATAAATTCATTGTTCATTGTCATCTGCATAGCAGGTGCATGCATCGCAGTGGAGGGTGCGTCGGGCTATATCGCATTTAGCTAACAATTCATGATAGTCAGATACCGTCCTCCATGGCGCAGTTACATAAGCTGCGGGCTAGTTGGCAGGAGCCACTAGCAGTCATGGGTTCGATTCTCCGCAGAGGACCGAAGGATGCGCACCACTGATTAGAGACCCTCTCCATCTATACCGGCTGCTTATCGGAGACCCGCCTGCAAGACTAGAGCTCTGTGCTCACTCTGCGATCCCCTCAGGTGACACCACCAGCATTTTCTCATTGCACCTATCCAGTGAGAATGCAGCTTCGAGCACCGGCCAAGCTGGTGTGGCATTGGCCTGAGTCTCCGGGCTGAAGCTGCTCTGGTTGATTGGTTTCCAATCAGTAGACGGTTGTGTGTGGTCCGATTGGCTGGCTCGTTCAAAGCTTCGAAGTCGCGTGGGACTAACAGGTGTCTATTTGTGCTCGCTGCCTATGCACCCACAAACTGTAGCGGTGACTCGGTAAAAGACGAATTCTATCCTTAACTGAACGAGCTCCTTAGCCGCAGAAGAAGCTCGGACACTGTAGTGCTGGCTGGGGATCTGAACGCTCAAGTTGGAATATTATCCACTGAAGAACTGCATCTGGGCGGCCAACATGGTGTAGGCTCCCGTAAAGATAACGGTGAGCGGTTACTTCATTTGTGTGAAGATGTTCGCTTATTTCTTGTGAGCACTAATTTCTGACACAGGACCCACAGAAGAGTGATTTGACGCCCACCAGTCTCGGGCCAGCCATGGACGCAAATCGATCAAATCAGGATCAGTTACCGCCGGAGGCGCTGTGTCCAAATCTGTCGGTCGATTTGAAGAACGAGCGTGGACTCCGATTATACTCTCGTGTGTGCCGCCCTGCGGGTGAGTTTCGGCAGACGTCCGCAACATCGTTTTGAGCGCATTGACACCAACCAGCTGACGAAGCCAGATGTTCTGAATGCGTATCAAACTACGCTGGCGTCTGGGCTGAGCAAGCGTCCACCGACCATCTTTAATGAGCACTGGTCGTATATTCGTCAAACGTTGCTATCAGCAGGCATGTCTTTATGTGGCAAATCGAACTGCCAGCCTAGACATTATGTCTCTACCAAGTGTCTGGACTTTATGGATGCTCACCGACGTATTCCGGCTGTAAGCGAATACAATGAGACTCTCAAAATCTCAGGGCGAATCTCCGTGCTAGCCTGAAGTGAGACTGTGAAGCCTGGTGGTCTGATCCTGCATCGGAAATGGAAACAGTCACTGCCGTTGGTAATCATCGTAACTTATTCCGTCTGATACGGGAAATAGGCCGCAGAAGATCTGGTGCTAGCGAGACCATACGCGATGAGAGTGGAGAGCCGATCGATAGCTTGTCAAAACGCTAGCAGCGTTGGGCCAAACACTTTGCTTGGCAGTTTAACCAATCTGTGTTATCCCTTTCTCTTTCGGGCATTGAGTGCTCTTCTCCATGGGCCTTCTCCCTTGATCCGCCCTCACGCGAAGAAGTCGAAAGTGAGATTAGACTTTTGAAATTGCATAAGGCCACTGGCGAAGATAGAATTTCCCCAGCTCTACAAATTCGGGGGACCTGCTCTTGTAGATGCTTTACACGAGTTGCTAGTGGAACTTTAGGAGAAGGAAATTGTCCCGACAGACTGGAGCCGCTCCCTCATATTCCCAGTTTCCAAGGGAGGCTCTCGTTCGGAATGTGGCAACCATAGAGGGATCAGTCTGATTTCAAATGCCTCTAAAGTGCTTGCCTCTATCATTCTCCACAGACTGACTGGCACTCGTGAAATCCAGATTCGTGAAGAGCAAGCCGGATTTCGTCAAGGTCGCGGCTGCATCGACCACATCTTCACTTTGAGTCAAGTGTTGGAGCACCGTCATGTTTATTGGTGACCCACTGTTATCCTGTTTCTTAACATAAAAGATGCCTTTGATTCAGTCGATCGATGTGCGCTTTGAGATTGTCTGCCGAGGAAAAGTGTGACTGCTAAATACGCAAACATTATCAAAGTGCTGTACGCGCATCGTTCGGACAGAGTGAGGGTTTATGGGAAAATATCGCCGTTCAGTGTCATCAGCGGTGTAAGACAAGGCTGCCCGTTATTACCTTTCATCTTTAACTTCGCAGTTGACGAAGTCATGGAAACAGCGTTCGCTGGACGCGACTTAGAAGGTATGGAGCTACTTCGTGGTGAGTGGCTTTTTCCCTTGGAGTATGCCGACGACATTGCCCTCACATGTGACAGCGCCCAAACGGGCCAAGCATTATTGGACCGATTAGCACTGGCTGTCAATCTCTTTGGGCTATACTTTGCTCCGTCGAATTGCAAAGTCCTTCTCCAAGATTGGCATGAACCTACCATTGCGCTGACACTTGGTGGTGATTAGCTAGAAGCCGTTCAAGAATTCAAGTATCTGGGTAGCTATATTAGCGACCGTGAGATCGAACCTGAGATTATGAACCGTACAACAAAAGCTCGAGATGCTTTTTGCCAATTCCGCCACCTGTGGCGCAGATGCGACATCACTCTCGCCTGAAGGGCAGAGTTTATAGTGCAGCCGTCCTTTCATCCCTCTTATACAGTTTTCAAACCTGGCCCACCACGTCGACAGACATAAAGTGGCCCGTCACATTCGATCATCGCTGCCTTCGCAACTTAGCTCATGTCGGGTGGGAGCACCGCGTGAGCAATGAGCGTGTTCGGCGTCGCGTATTTGGTGTAGGAAGTGCGAGTGAACCGTTCAGCACCATTATGTCACGCATCTGACTCCAATGGCTTGGCCACATGTTGCGCATGCCAGCATACCGACTCCTGCGACGTGCATTGTTTGCGCGCCGGGTGTGCGGCTGGAAGAGGAGGTGGGAAGGCCAAGTGATGACTTGGTCGAGAGAAATGCAAAGCTCACTTCGAAGCTGCCGTCGGTTGGTGCATCCCGAATGCTTGGATGCAGTCCTAAGGACGACGAACGCGATGGTTGGACACAGTTGCTGATATGACGAAGAACAGGGCCTCAATGGCGTTCGTGTTGTGAGTTTGTTTGTCCCTCCCCCTCCCCTTTAGATTTCCCTCCAATGTCGATCTCATACGAAATGCATAAGATAATATTTAACATCATACTACTGTGCCTGGAATATTCTTTTATTGTGTAACTTATTTTAGCTTCTGATCTTTTTGTATCGCAGCAAATTAGCTGAGATGTGTTTCTCACCCACAGCTAACTTGCATTGCTGCTGCTACTGATGAGGATGAGCACGTTGTGTAGCAAAGACAAGCAAAGTGCTGTGTTATCAGAGGAATTTAAGGTGGTCGAATGTTTTTGAGTTGACGTGACACACTTAGAGGAAACACCATCACTAGCCACAACACGAAATTCTTCTGTTTGCACAAACTTGGTTTCCATCATGTTATCGCTGTGGCCTCAGTAAACTGAAGTAAGCGGGATTTCTTTGGTAATCTCAAATCCTTTACATGGGTTTTGGAGCACAGGGCAATCACATACATGTGGGAAAGTCCAACTTCCCAAGGTTGGAGCTATGTCATGTTTTCTGCATAACTCACACCACTTGGTTGGCTTTTTTACTTCACGGACTATTGGCTTCTGGATCTGCTTGGTTTTTCACTGCCTGATCCATCACGAACAAAAGGGCTAAACTTTGCAAGAATTGTTCAGACTGTCTGAATGTAATTAAGTTTTTCCAATTTTGCATCTGCTCCCTTATCGGGCCTCAGTATCACCACTTCTCAATATTCTGTTAAAGCGAGTTTTCCTTTTGCCGTATTATAATTCGTGAAGGGAAATACTTGCATGACAATCAGATTTTCTGACCTTACTATTTTGTTGTGACAGTTCTCTGCATATGTCCAATCTCGTCACACCCAATCAAGGTCATGCGGTTGGGCCAATCTTAAATGACATGTGATAAGCGTCCTGCAGCAGTCGCAACCTTCATGGCTTATAACATCGATTTTTACCACCTATATTGATTAAGGTCGATTAAATCCACTTTAGGCCACTAAAGCATAAAGTGTATTGAAATATGACTGATCATTTGCTGTGGCCATGAAGCTGATGTGGCCGAAGTACCATGGGTACAATGACTCCAAAGCCTCCCACAGGTATAGTCGTTGACCCTAACAGGATCGAATTACCGAGTTACACAGCCTATGAGCACCCGTCCACCAAATGGTTGCTGAACACTTTCCGGAAAGGTGCGAGCAATCGACTGATTGCCATGCTAAAAGAAAGACCACACTTGTTTCGACAAACATTTCAAATTTTCGACTGTCCCTCAGAAGTGATGGCAGACGCTAGTGACACTAAAAGTATGTTCCACAGTGCGGCCATACTTTACCTACGGCCGTTATGTCTAGCCATCTATATGCGATGCAGAAGTGCTGTACAAATATTACTCGCTTCCAATTTATGCGATCCGCTCGAATATAGTTACGCTTCTGATGTGTATGTGCAACTTCAAGGCTACAATGGCGGAGATCTGTTGGAACTATTACCGGCGTGCGTTGCAATCAGGCGTCAGTTTTGGGAAATCTTACCTAATCTATTTCATGCGTCTCCTATGCACAAACCACCAACCTTCACCCCAAGAACCGCTTTTACGATTCGATATCTGAGCCGTCGCATGCAACGAACAACCATGTTTGAGGACCTCTTTCACTATGCCACAGACCTCGCACCCACTAACCGGCATATCAATATCGTCAAAATTTTGGAAGTACTGATTAACTATTGTCCAGGGTTTTATGTGCCCGGGACGCTGGACGAGTGCAAAAATTCTGAACCATATTCCCTATTTCGAAGACTCGCTCACTTGGCAGTGTACATGGACATTAACAATCGCATAAGCTTTCCCCTTATTCAGTGCATGGAAGCGCTAGTACGGAACTCGCATTTTCGGCCCTGTGTATCGACGACGGGTCGGAATTCTGCATGTAACACCATACTTTTGAGCTTTAAGGATGTACGCAATAACTGGGAGGAAGCGACTGCTTGGATTAAAGACTGCTATATATGCGCCACCCTACTGTTTCGCTTGTATGCCTTACTTGTATCACGACTTAAGACCGGAAGTGTAAGCCATGCGGGTAACTTACTCTTCAGAGTATTGGTAGAGACAAATTTGCTGGAGAGTACGCTAACGATGTCGGTGGAAGAGCTTGGTGAGGCGTTAGACTTTATCATAAAAAATGACAGGATCGGTTGGGAATACTTGAGAGAGAAACAGCATTTTGTGGGAGGCAAAATCCAAGATGCTATTGGCCAGGGAGATGACGCATGCTCAATCGATGTACACCCAACAGACACTAACAAGCGGTCAACCGCCGTTTTCGCAGAATCGTTGGGTTTGTTAATGCATCTGGTGGAAAAGCTACGAAACAGGGACAGACTCGTACAGCTGAAACGTACTCACGCTCTTAATGTATCTGGTTCGTATCGGGCTCAATGGATTAAGGACAACTTCAGTATCTGTAAGGTTGGAAGTCAATACCACGAAAAAACTAGTTCAGTACATGTCCACCCTCTGGCTGACCGGTTTCTTCGTGTAAGCAAGCCTGTGTGTTCAGGTCAGATGAAACCTACCTTCGAACATGGTGTCAATCAAGACGAATTTCACCAGATAAAAGAATGCAGGATTAAAACTGCTTTAGAATGCAGATCAAGGGCTTCTTCTTCGCCAACAGTCATACATCAGATAGATGCTTCTAATCGCAGTGAGGCTGGCAACTGCTTTTCTACTCTAGATACCAAAATGACACAGCTTGCGTTAACAGCACCAGAAACGTGTGATACATGCTTAACTAACTCGGAGAATTATCGTCCAAGACCTCGTTCGGCGGTTATTCGAGTCGCTGACAGTATCGAAAAAAAGGTTAGAAGTAATCCCTGTAACGGTGGTGAAGCATTGACAGATTTCTGCAACCTCAACAAAGAGGCTGGAGATTCCAATATTCCAACAGCTGGTGCTCAAACGGAGTTACCTTCGGTTTCAGAAATAGGGCAAACCGAATCGGATTCCAGCCCTCGTGTTGAAATTGCTTTTTGTGAGAAGGCTTGCCAAGCAAAGCGGCATGAGTGCCGCAAAGCAGTCAGCGCTTTGATCGTGAAGAAGCGCAGCGTAGAAAAACTTAGCTTGCGTGATGTGGACCAGTTGATCGATTGTATCGCAATGAGCGCCTTGGCCAATGAAAAGGAATTCGACGGCCAAACTATTGAAGACCTGTTCCACGACTACATGGAACAAGGTTCATTCCCATCCAGTACAGTTTCACGTGCTAACAGCTCGACTGGAACGCAGATTTGCTGTAAACAGGCAGAAGCCGCGGACCTGGTTCATCCAGATACTTGGGTGGATGGAACACACTCCACAATTGTCACACCGGAAGGTGCATATGTAGCACAGGACGCAAAGATACAAACAAGGAGTGGACCTTATTGCACAACTGAGGAGGGAATTCAGCAGAAACTTGCCATCAACTTTGTCAACCCCAGGATGGACGGTTCCGATGCTTTGCCGAACGCGACTGATCGAGAAGGCTCATCCAACTACAGAAAATTCTTGTGGTCATGTGCCAAGCCAATATCGCATTTGAACGTTGCGTTTGGAGCTCTAAAACATCATATATCTGTGAATAGGAGAAGTGTTAGTCGAGTTATAGAAAAAGCGAGTCCAAGGTCAATGCACACAGATTCTGTGAGCATAAACTAGAACAACCGAAAATTGGATTACTCGCCGGGAATTACGGGAAAGAAAAAGTTTGAAACTACTCCTTGTTAACAATGGCATTGGTCAAAGTCCTTGACTCAGATGGATGTTTTGCTCATTCGGAATATTTAGTGATTTATAGCGCATGAGACGTTATCACCCAACACGGATGTTCGCCAGACTCACTTCGAAACTCCTCATGAGGGATATCTAGACTTCATCTATTGATCACAACAACAATTGACCATGTCAATTGATCAATTGTTGTGCTTTTCGCCGAACTACTTCTGCCCACTTCGATAGGGAGAACATCGAAACGAGTCGGAACCGGAGTATATATGTCTTAACAGGGCAATAGTTGTTATGAGTAGCAAAGGAATAAAGGGTATAGCACAAGTAATTAAAGTGTGAAGCATCCACAGTCTGAAATGTTTTTAATTAGTGGAATAACATAGGCCTGCGCTGAAGTTCCGTGATTTCCATTCACATGCGATAGAATTGCGTAGCTGGCACTACCAGCATGCATCAACGTCAGATCGGATCAGACACAATTAATCCTTTCGTACAACAAGGGTCACAACTAATCGAAACTCGTACTCTATGAAATGTTTTACCGATGCGAGCAGAATGGAGCATATCCAGGAAAAATTAATTGCATTGTCCGAAACTCGGGTGTTAACGTTTTGGACCTAAAACCTCACATATATGTATGTCTCAGTCCTGCTATCCCAACGCGCTGCTGCTTACTTGGGTCACTGGCAGAGGAGATCTTGCTCGAAGTAGATATTAGAGACATCCACGGTGCCCTCCATTTTGCGGTTAACTGCATCCTCATTGCGTCAAGTTTATCATGCCAAGCAGATTATACATGTTTGTTTGACCCTCCCTACTTATAACCTTGCAGCGATTTAAACAAAGGTTCAGGGTTGTATCCCTAAGTCAACTCCTTGCTTCGACTTTGGCAACCGGGTAGAATCACGCCTTCTGGCAGAGAACTATGGACTGATTTACATCGTGCTTATTTGCTTCCGTTTTGTCTCTTGAATTCACACGAATTCATCACATAACCATTGTTTGTGTGTTAACAATCCATGATATCCGCTACCTGATTCATATGTCCATGGATCTGTCTGCGGTTACGGCAGCATCTCGAACGATGGAGCTCAACCTGTGTCCTTCCTTCGACTCCGATCCTCGTATCGTCTGGTGCGCTTCAACCTATGGGCACTAATGTGGATTGCGCAACAAGCCGGTCTGGTGTGTATCTTACAGCTCCTCGATATTGATATCCGCTACCTTTTCAAGACACAATTGTAGAACCCCAGCACTGTGCTTACACTGATACCCTCACTACCCACGGAGCCATATATCACATGTGTCATTCTGGAGACCCAGAATCAGTCTCGGCGGGTTTGGCTGGTGTAGGTATAGCACTAAGTGCCAAGGCCGAGACCGCGCTACTGGACTACTAGCCGATTAACAGCCAACTGTGTTCAATGAATAATGATCAAGAATGAGCAAGTAAAAAAGTGAGTGCTTTACGATGCCCATAGGATAACCGGAGTGAGGATTATAAAACAAAAGGTAAACATGGCACGAAAATGGGGCGTGACTCACTAAGCTATTCACACGAACGCTGATGCAGGTTCCCTCGCCCCTCTATTACCTTGAGCGCTGGTGAGCACATAGCTTGATCCACGTTATTTCGTCCTCCGAGTGAAACGGAGTATGTCACGTAGTACAAAGGGATAGCGTGTCCTCATGGTCTCTTTTGAAAAGCGTTACTGCAGGAGCAAGGATGACGTGAATTGGAACAGCGTTCCATGTTAAGGACAGCAGAAGGAAGAATAAAATTATCGGCAATTAGGTCGATTGTAGTGAGTGGCCAGTATGAACTGGTGGCCTCTCAGGTTGGTACTGCGTCTGTGTTGCTACAGGTCGCGACAGGCGTGCTTGAGGTTCGCCAGTCTTAGGCTTCTGAGGGCCACAGAGGTTAGGAGCGTGTTTGCTGGCTCGAATTTCAGGTGAGAGTCTATGCCGACACTTGTGGGGTCTACTGCCCGTAGTTTCTTTTAACAGCCGATGAAGTTCACAAGACCATTCCGGGTTGCTGTGTAGCGTTTTCAAGATCAGTAGGTGACTGAAAGCTGGATCTCATTCAGGTAATGGACTGTTTTGACTGTGTCCCGCTTCTGAAGGGCATACTGGCGGGGTCGCATACAAGACATGTTTGTTCGTCTATTTGTGACTGATTGCCCATTGACTTTACACGTATTTCAGATGGTAGCATTTTGCACTTAGTGTACAGTTCAATTTCACTTTCCACCATCGGTTTGGACTGCAAGATTACTTTTATCACACGGTGACCACATCTATCGTAATTGGGTGATGATCGTAACCTTGATGTCGAGTTGACGATCACGTTTCCGATTGAGAGTACTTCATAGACGAAGCGGCATTCATCCCAGTCATGTGCATGCGCTTCTAGCTCGCTTGGAGCCTGAAGCTCGTAGACACTAGGGACAAGGATCGATTTTACATATTTTTGTTTACGGAAGCCATCCGGATTTTGGTTGGGTTTCAGACGTTCACTCCAGGGAACAGCATGGCGTATTACACGACTGCGGTGTTGCCAAATTACCCTCTACGCGCGTAACTAGAATTGGCCTATCCATTGATTCGTCATGACTCAATACGTTCATTTATTGATCATTTCACAAATGCATGTTCTGGCTCCTTCAGCTTGGATGAATGGCTTAATTGTTGCACCCTCTGTTACCTCCTCAAAGGGTCCATACATTCGTTTACTGTACTAAATTACTGTTCTACATTCACGTACACAACAAATTGTGTAGCCAGCTAGCAATATTTTTACGCAGGACTGCCCCTACTCAATCCTGGATGGATACTGCTATTGCCCCAAAGTCAGAATTTTGTGAGTATAGAAAAATCACTTTTTTCGGTTATATTTCGGTTCTGTCGATATTCGGTGCATGTGTGATATTAAAGACAGATGATAATTCGAAGCTGTTGCGGCTGCATCTCGGTTCTTCATGTAGACATATATTTGCCACCCTGAATCTTCGCGAGAAGCCAACCCTGAAGGGTGCCTTCCTGGCGCTGGATACGCATTGGGGAGTGTTTGTGAACACATACACTTCCCAGTATAAACTTACTCGGATGAAGCTGACACCGGGCGAGCATTTGAACAGCTTCATATTCTGTCTTGTCTGTTCTATGCGAATGTGTTACTATGATAGTGTTCCCAAGATGCTAGGGAAACGATACGTATGGAGCAACCGATCTCCGGCCTGTCCGATTCTAGGATCAGGGAAAGCTTGCTAATGGAGGACACCGATAAGCTCTCGTAGGACCGGTCTGTGACATAGCTCGTGTGAAGTTAGTGAGCAAGGTAAAAATTTTCATTCTACTGTTTTGTCTACTGAGATTGACTGCTCAAACTCTTCACCATTTGCTGCGATATCCCCAAGTGGGATTAAATGTCACCACTGTTGAAAGGCTGAACACCGTGTAAATCAATCGTGGATTTTTTGTGAGAAGTGTAGCGGTCGTAGATAGTAGAAGTCAATATTAAACTGCATACAATAATCTGCCTCGACGGAGAATAGGACTCCGGTCCACGAATTACCGGTCCGTTGCTCTACCACTGAGCTACCGAGGGCTGACGATCAGGTGCGCAATTTAATACATAACTTCTGTTGGGTGCGCGACGTATTGCCAACGAGCTCACAGTATCTGTCCTGGTGTTGCAGATTGGCTCACTCACTCGTCACTTCCCAATGTACCGAAGTATCTGTCCTGCTGATGGTAGATAAATTGTGGATTTTTTGTGAGAAGTGTAATGTTCGTAGAAAGTAGAAATCACGATTAAAATCTTCCCATGTGCGAACATACCATACGGTCGGGTTATGTAGCGCCTCTTTAAAAGGTACAGGATAGGAATTCAGTCGATGCGCACCGACTTGATTGTTAGTTGCTCTTATCTTGGGCCTGCGCCACTCCACGGTGTGCAAATCGCCAGTCGATTGATCTCCAGCCACCCGAGCATGTGTGTCAGATTAGCCGATGCAAACTGCCGACAGCCCCATCACATTTGCGCAGGAACAATCAGATCGGTGCAGTGCAGCCACCCTAAAAGTAAGTGCTGCCTGTTTTTACAAAACAGTACCTACTTACCTTGCAACGAAATTACCGCAGTCGTATTTCAGTAATAGCCTTCTCAGCAGAGCGCCGCACAAAACTTCTCTCTCTCTCTTACCAAAGGTGACCATCTCCAACCCGTATTTCACTTGCAACCTGCGCAGGCTTTACTGGCAAGCACGTCCTAATGCTTTGGCAACACAGGCCACCATCAAACACGCTGTCAAACAAGCCTTAAGATTGCGAATCGGGCATAGCATTGCCGTGTACCGTGCGCAAAGCCTGCGTACACGATGGTCTGCTTACGCACACTCAACCTTTAACCTAGTCGCGCCGCGTGTTTGATAACTTTGTACCCGTAACTTGCGTAGGAGTAGCTTCAGTGTGGCTTATCGTTGCTGTATAGAAGTTAGAACGCCTACGTGTCTACGGCACGCCAGCAACCCATGCAAGGGTTATCATATCTACCGTCCTTCGTTGATTCGGGCTAGCTAAATTCCAAGACGGTATGTGCATATTGCGTTGCAAAGAGACTGGATGCAATTCAAATGTGTTAATGGTCAATTCCAATTGGCCAATGGATTCAGGTCGGATAATTAGCGAGCAATTCATTTGCAATATGGATGGAACCGATCAGGAAGTGGTGTAGTACATCGATAACCAACTATTGGACCATCGGTGAATATGAGGTCAAGCGTTTTGTGCAACCCAACGGGAAATGTTACACTGTTTACAGCCTCCCACAAGCAGGTAAGTTAACATTTTAGCTTGGTTTCCTGTACATTGGCACACGATCTATAATATATTTATAAGTTGAAATCTTCTCGAATTACCTCAAAGTGAATAGGAAATGCAAACGCATGTCTCATTGCATACTGAAGCGATCCGTTTTGAAGTGCGTAAGAGTTCGGTGGTAAATGGACACATCCAACCAGCATTCTATTACTGCCCAAGGACACTGTTATCCAAATGGACTCCTTGAGGCATGGGGGTTGCTGGTCGCTGCATCGTGTGAAGTACCTAGTTTGTTCATATAGTAGATGATACAACCACCTCCTCGACCATGGCAGCAGTCCTTACGAAAGAACTAACAACCTTTGATAGTAATAGGATGGTTCGCGTTCTAACTCATACACTACGATTCGGTAATGAGAAGGATATGAGGTAGATGAAGGGCGACGAAGCAGCGAGCAAGTGCATTTTATGTACTAGAGGAGGGGTATTGATGAGCACCAGTTTGAGTGTACGGTCATGAAAGAGATAGACCATTCGTTTACAGAATGTATTATTTAAGTGAACCTCTATTCATCTGATATGTGAATCACTATGTCTAAGACTGTCATTTGTTAAATAGCTAACGGTGGTGGAGGATGGGGCGTGGGATTCAAGAAAACACCTTGTGGCTGGCTTTGATTGACGTAAGAATCTTTTCCTCACTAAAGAACATGGGAGTAATTTGACAATGACTTGATGGGGCTGATGTATTCTTGTGGAGTTTCTACCTACCTGGTTCAATGTATACACAGAGAAGCGTCTCTCAAAATATGGGGGGTGAGTCCCATATACCTAGCGATTCGTAGGATGACATGAGGTTTACTTTATCTAAATATGACACAGTGTGCTTGACAGATGTCACCTCGGGCTGGGGCCAGTTCGGGGATTTGCCGTACTCAGCTTGTGTTGGTTGGGTCATGGTCTGTACTTGAAGTGAAATTTGATCCTTCACCCATGGCGGGCACACGTTCTGTGGTAATTCGTTTAGAGGAAGTATGTTAGCCAATTTAATTGGGTAGCACGCTGCGGCTCCAGGGAACTCAGCAACTGGCAGAGAGAAATTGTTCGTGTTTATGATGTTCGTGGATGTAGTAGCAGAAGGGGGTAGATGGATAGGTTGATAGAATCGAAATCCGCTGCCAATTGCGGGGTAGCGTTTAAGGGGCTTCCCCAAGTTTCCAGAACGGAGGTAGGGAAGCGTTTTACTTATCACCGGAGGTTGATCTCTAGCGTTGGAGAGAATATTTTGTAAATGCTATATTGAATATTTCTCGTATAACACCTCAGTTGCAGGGGATTACTAGTATGGTTTTTATCAGTCACACGACCTGTCTGATAAGAAGCAGCGTTTCCGTAAAGTAACTCACTAGCTTTGTTTCCGTTCCCACTTGGTCGCTTTTTATATTGTTGGTTGAAGGTGAATTTTGATTAGGGGTCCTTATCTGATCTGCATTTTTATCTTTCCCGCAGTCGGTGATTACTAGAAGGCACCTCGCTGCTTACTGCAGTCGCTGAGGCGTTAGCGTCTTCTATCACAATGTCCAGATTATTTGTATTTGTCAATGTAACTATCGTCGGTGGAGTTGCAAGACTTCTCCAAGGTCGATGTTATGTAGCAATCTGAACTTGAGAGTTTGGATAAGTACTTGCACTGAGATGAGTCGAAATCCACAGTATGTTGGGCATTGCACTCTACATTTGCTTGGTAACTAACGATATTACATGTAGTAGCTTTATCATCGGATTGGATACGCTTTACCTTTGTTTCCCTCTGAAGAGGTTTTGATCAAGTTTGATGAGTATAACAAACTCCTTTTCGGTGATTCATCATCAGGCTAGGCACAATATATTTAACGAGCTAACACAGAACAGGTTAAAGCACGTATTAGGAATGGTGTAGGAGGTACACGTGACAGCCCATACTAACCACCCGGTTGTTATCACAAAGTCCTTCCGCCCGATCTATCGCGTGAGGGGATTCCGATCCAAACTGATCAAATGTCACATACTTGCAATGGCAGACGCGATCGACATCCGTCTTCACCACCCTCCTCTGTGTGTGCACAAACAATTTGTGAAGACCCTGGCTCTTCCCCGGCCAGCTGTCACACATTCAATCGTGTGTGCCAGTCGGAACAGAGCCGTCACATCTACTACTCCATTCCTAATAGGTGCTTTAATCTGTCATATGTTAACCATTTAAATGTGTTGTATGATATCAGAAGTTTTGAATACAAATCGGTTTTGGTATGGTTTTATTGTGTGCACACTTCGGCGAATGATGCCTGGCAAGTGTTGAAAGGCAAGATAAACTGGGTCCTACAATCAGCTTCAAAAGACGTACCATTACGAGTTTCGCAACGGAGCAACAACTGGATCCGGAGTAGAACACGAAAGTGGTTGAATAGGCGAGACGAGGCTTGGAGGGGTCATTTGCTAGGTCCAAGTGATATCACGTGGAATCATTACGAAACTACTGCACTTCACTCCTTAAAGCTGACAAGTACGAATGGCAGGAAACTATGGTACGCAAATTTACTAGCAATCACAAACTGCTCTACCGGTACGTGAATGACAAAAGGAAGTTTAAGACGGGAATACCACCACTAGAGAAGGTCAATGGCCTAACGGTTACTGAAGAGGAGACCGCGGACGCATTGCTCATGCAGTTTGTCTCAGTGACTAGACACACCATGGAATCATCGCCTTGCTACATTCCAGCAAATGTCGTCGGCTTATCCACGGTCAACTTTAGCCCTACATCTGTGGCAAGGAAATCACAGTCGCTCAGGGAAAATAGTGCGCCGGGAATTGACAAGATCTGTCCGAAAGTACTTAAAACCCTTGCACCCACCATGGCAGTCCACCTTGCAACCTTTTTGCAGTTTCTATTTGATTCTCATACACTTCAGTCTGCGTGGAAACGTGGACTTATCACTCCGATATACAAGGGAGGTAAGCGGTCAGACCCTGCCAACTACCAACCTATTACTCTCCTTCCTGTTCTATCAAAAGTGATGGAGTCTATAATCGCTGATGAAATGGTGAGATATTTTGAAAGTCTACAAATCATCTCCAACCTCCAACATGGATTCAGACGTGGACGATCTTGCCTCACCAATCTACTACTTGCTCGGGACTCATGGACCAGGGCTGCTGACGAGGGAGTTCTCGTAGATGTGATTTACTTAGAATTTTCTAAGGCATTCGACAGAGTCAATCACCCAGCACTTCTCCGAAAGCTTGCGGCCTATGGTATCCACGGATCCTTGCTCACATGATTGGAAAGTTACTTATACGACAGAAGAATCGAGGTAAGGATCATCAATACCCACTCCCATAGCCTATGCGTCACTAGCGGCGTACTGCAAGGATCAGTTCTCGGCCCGTTACTCTTTTTAGTCTATATCAACGACCTCCCTGCCAACATTCAATCACCTATGCAAATATTCGCCGACGATGCTAAGATGTGGCGAGCTATTCAGTCAACATCTGATCCTGTCTATCTGCAGGATGACCTGAACCGGATTCACGAATGGGCAGTAAACAACCAACTACCTCTGAACCCCGAAAAGTGTCACCTGTTGTCGCTGCGCAGTAACTGCAGCAACACATATCACCTGGGGCAGCGCGTTATAAAACAGGTGAGCAACGAAAGAGACTTAGGGGTCATCGTGCAAGAAGGTCTGGGTAATTCGCTCCAATGTTCAAAGGCAGCTAAGATAGCGAACTTAAACTTGAGGCTTTTGAGGCGAGCGCTCGGTACCTTCGAGCGGCAACTCGTGCCATTATTGATTAACGCCTACATTCGTCCAAACCTCGAGTATGCGGTGCAGGCATGGCGTCCGTGGTTAAAACGGGACATTCGTCTCCTGGAGCAACCACAAAGAAGAGCCACTAAGGCAACACGTGGTCTATCGGGCCTTAGTTATGAACCGCGCCTTCGTTCGATCGGTCTGTACTCCTTAGAATACCGACGACTTCGCGGTGATCTGATCCTCACTTACCGGATACTAAGAGAAGAGGACCATCCATGTAAGTCGCTGTTAACATTATCTGCCGACAAACGATGCCGAGGCCATGCACTAAAACTTGTGACTCAATATTCCCGTTTAGATTGTAGAAAGTTTTTTACTCTCTTAGTGTCTGTCCGCACTGGAACGCACTGCCATCGCATGTGGTGAACGCATCAAACATCGAGACATTCGAAAGACTATTGGACTTGCACTTACATGATACACATTATATAACGGTATGACAAACTGCAGTGACTAACTTACTGATATTTTTGTGTCACACCTGAAACTTTTGTTTTCTTCCATTTGCCATCCTGTGGGTCTTGTAAAGTTATTGCTTTTTATCCCACCATACACTATTGAACTATTGAACGTTTCGACCTTGACACAAGACCTTCTTCAGGCCTGAAGAAGCCTTTTCGGTGACCCATACAGCTGTGGAGTAGTGCTTCCATTTGGCTTCAAACGGCTATATGCGCCACTATCAATCACACGAAGAAGAAGTATTTAAAGGTAGGCAGCTATACGGGCCTCAACGTCGGCTGCGTCCCCCACCTTCTTAAGTAGTTCAAACTTGCTCCTGTCGTTAAGTATGACACGTTTTCTGAGCGGACTCGGCCTTGTTCATGATCATCACTCCAGAGCCCTTATCCGGTTTTATCCCAACTACATTTTTAGTTCGCGTAGGGCCTGAAGGTGTCGACTTGTAAGCGTGTATTTTTCACTCACTGGCACAGCCTTAACTTCGTGGGCGATATCAGTAAATTTGTTTCTAAACCAAACAACCAGGTCAGGACTGGATGGTTGAAGCTCCTTAAAATGATCGAAAATTTCTCAACTTAGGATTCTTTAAGTAATCCATTCAGCTTTCTAGCAGGAACTTTGTAAGCAAGCCCGTATATCAGTGCTTCTAACTATAACGCATCAAGTTGTACGTCTGGTAAATGCACCACGTACAGTGCTGGCTAAATTCTTATAAATTTATCGAATTCAGCAAACTTTTTTCATTTCGCTTGACATTTCTCGTCAAAATCGAATGAGGTTACTGTAGCCTGATTATACTTTCCAAGAAGAACAAACATTGCTTAGACCTTTATCAAGATTAGTATTTTGTAAATGATCCTTTGGAAATTTTCAATGAGTTAACCCGCAAAGGCATGAGGCGAATGAGCTTTTTACGATACTCAGTCATGCTCCCATTGCGTGCTCAGGTCGTTATAAGTTCTTTAATGAGCTGTTGCTTATTTGTAACAATTTTCGCTTCATTTCTAACTTTAGAATTGCCCATAAATGCTCTATTGGATTCATGTCAGGGCTATTTCCAGGCCTAGGCAGCAGTACAATACCACAACATTCGAGAAAACTGGTTACTTCACGTTCCTTGTGACATGGAGCACTGTCACGTATTAAAATGAAGTCTCCTGTCCATGTAAATCCGTTTTTCTCTGCCTATTTACACAGTTGAGGGATCAGACGGTGCTTCAGTAGTGTTTTGTACTGCTGCTGGTTCATGTGACCCTCTAGGATGTAGAGCCAACCAGTTCCGCAGCTGCTCATAACACTCCATTTCATGACCTGAGTGGGATGCTTGATTCGTTAAACGATACTGTCTTCCTTAATCTGTTCTCCAGATAATCGACAGACATATTGAGCATGCTGGTCAAAGCACCGGATGATACTCCCATCTTTGAAAACAAACTAAACTAAAACACAGAGGAGCTGTATGAAATACTCAAGCAATATAAACACTATTTTTCATGAAATTCCTCATAAAATTAAAGCCTTTAGCTCTTACCCGCTCGCAGTCTTCTTTTGACCGTTTTTCAAGCTGTTTGGCCTATTCATGTCGCTTTTCTTTCAGTTCTTTGGTCAACTTTTGCTTCTTCAGAGGTCTGTGATCGTGAAGCGCAGAATCCAAAATTCGTCTTCTTACAGTTTGGAACTTACTGCAACACCATGCTGTTCTAACGTCCTTTGTAACTGTCTGCTAAATGCTTTGCGATTCTTTCGGCATTCCTCAAACAGAAGTGAGTTGTCTCGAGCTGTTATTGCTCTTCTGCGACCATAGTTACCAGAACACTTAGGGGGCAAAGGTGAATTATTCGGCAATTTCTTTCGAATTTGGCGTACAGACGCTAGACTAACAGCAATCTTGGCAGCAATTTCTGTTCCTTTAACAGCTTTTTTAACAAAATTTCAACGTTAGTAAGCGTTCATGGGGTTGGGTCACGCAATCTACCCATAAATATGTCTATACTACCATCTAGCAATTATCGATCAATAACGTCATATCGTTAGTTGAGGAGATACCTTACGAAATACAAATAAAAGTGAGTAAAAAAGGCTATAAATTGATTCAAAACTAGACAAAGTTTATCCAGAAATGTGAAATATAGTAGAAAATGACAAATTTCGATAAAATGTAACCATCGGTTTACATAACTACTGTACATGCGAGTTGTATTCACTAGGATCACGAATGATTGGCCCCCCTTTTAGCTGTTCGTTAGTGCACTTCTCTAACGGAGTATACCGATTTCTCCTTGTACGGTCCAGTGTTGCTTTGCAAAAGTTAGCAAACACAATCCGACAACACAGATAGATCCTCTATCTCTGGTAGTAAGAGTTCATGAGTTCCAAGTAAACTCACAAGTTTTGACTCGACCGTCTCCAGGTGAGCGGATGCCACGCGCCTGAGGTTAAGCACAGATGGTTCGAGTGTATTTCTACGTAACAGGGTGCAAACTGATCGAGAGTATCTAAGCAGGAGAATACACTTCGAGAGAAAATAAATGTCTGCGACACAGGCCGAAACGAACAAGAAACTTTGTGCAACCTCTTCAAGTGGATCCACGTCAGCAGAACCATACAATCTCCAGGTATATTGAACGGAACTCAGGTACTGGTTGTGAAGAGAACCAGTAGGAGCAAATATGGATACCAATTATTAAGAAGTGAGAACGTTGCCGGACCTAACGTGTATTGCACAGAGCTGTAACGAACTGGAAGCAAGTTAGCAAGAGCACAGTGCAAAGTAGAGCACGACTAACAGGAAATTCGAAAGTGAAGCGGATGTGCTGTCAGTAAAAGGAATGGACGATTAGGAGTTACAAACGAGAATAAAATCCAGGGTCACAAAAGACTGAAGGCGTAAAGTTTCCTGTTCACTACAGGGGTCGCCGCCTAGAAGGCTGAATGAGAGAAGCCTTCCACAGAGATGTCGGGTGGGGGAACAAAGTGAGAACGGGGAAATAGAGTAGCAATTGTAGTAGGCGCTGGTGGACAGACGGGGCACGTGGAGTTCGCTGGGTCCAGGCTTCTTTGTTATTTGTTATTTATTATTTGGGTGTGGACTGAAGTGCATCCTCGGTGGGCCTTCGGGGCAGGGTCGTCAGATTGCAAAAATGACTAGCTAGTTCAGCAATAGTCAACAGGACATTTCCGCCGCTGCAGACCTGACGGTGAGCTTGGGAGGTTTCGTGCACCCTACTGCACTCGGAGTCCATGAAGGTAACGACCCTCGTCCCACGAAGAATCCCGGATGTCCAAAGCTAAATTTATGAAGCACGCTGTGTTGTTGGGTTTCGACTGGCAACCTCTCTTGAGACCTTGGTTCACTTTAAGGTAGACCTCGGTCATTCCGATCATGAGGACCGTAATTATTTTAATACCCGTTTTGGATCCATTGTAAACATCGTGAACAAATTGATTTTTTGCGTTCCTGTTGTACACATTGATCAGACCATATAGTTGGACTGCACCTAGCAATGCTGACGAATATACCATTCATCTAATTATTTATTTATAAACGATACATCTAAGCTTGGCTGCTTGGAATGCTGACTTGACAGCTGTTGAAAGGCTTCTAGTTACACACTCAGCAGTGGCGTCCCCCTTGAAGCGAAGTCGTATGAAAAGTTCTTTCTTCTCTGATGTCTGAACTTGCAACAGGTCGGGTTTATCTCATGTTCGTAAGAATGAAACGGTCAGGATATCCATTTTCACGCAGCAAATTCTGAATGAATGTCAACTCAGTATCCAACGGGTTTTCAGAATAGATCTCGTGGGCCCTTGTGGTTAGACAGCGAATTAGGTTTCGCTTATATTTCAAAGGAACGAAACTGTAGAGTTCGTATACTGGCCACTCCAGGTTTTCTTCCTGTAGGCCTGCCGTTGGATCGAGCCGCCTGCTCTTCCAGTTAACAGGACATCAAGAAACCGCAACTGGCCGTTCAGTTCTTTCTCGTAGGTAAACTGCATTGCTGCGTGGGCCTGATTAAAACGGTTAATAACAGCGTCAAGATTAACAGACTGATCAGCCACGACAAATGTGTCGTCCATATAGCGGTGGTAACGTTCTGTGATCTGCGCATGTAACTTGGTATTCTCTGATTTGGCCACGAAGACATCAGCTAACAACGTACCCAATGGCGATCCCATAGCTACACCATCCTTTTGTCGATAGTAAGTGCCAATAAATAGGAACTGTCCGTTTCATGTGCAACTCAAAAGGAGGCTTTTCGAGTCACACAACGGTATGCATATGCTTGTTTGTGTTTCTTCTATGTTGCAGCAAAGGTAATCGATCGTCTCGAAAAGTGGCACGTTGGTGAAAAGCGATACGATATCCAAGGAAAACATTAGTTTCTTACCGATGTTGCAGTCTTTGCTAGTTTCGATGAAATGAAAGGTGTCACGATGGTTATAGTGTGTAAGTCGCTGTCTTACTGGCCCTAGAATTTCCACAAGCCATTGGGCGACGGTATGGTTGGGTGTCTTATCCATTGATAAGATCGGGCGAAGCGGGACATCTGTCTTATGAATTTTCGGTAACCCATAAAGTCTCGGGAGATTCGTGTCACACGGCTTAAGGCTATCATAAGGTGTGTTTGATATATGTCCAATATTCCGAAGATCTTGAAATCCCTTAATAATCTGGTTTATAATCCTCCCTCTTTAATCTTTTTCTCCAATCGTGTGGAAAATTTTGCTTCATCACTCAAAACGCTTTCTAGCTTGTTCCTCTCGTCTTCTTTTCTAATAGAGCGACCCCGGTACCCTTGTCCGGTTTGCTCAGGAGGATTTTATCATTGCGTCGTAAATCCTTCGGCGCGTCAAGATGCTTGCGTGTCAGTGGACCGTGCGTTTGGACATGGCACTTGCGATACTGGTAGCAAGTGTTCACCAGAGAACACTTTAAGCGCTCCAGGTCTTCATTTTACTTTGCTACTAGGCCTTTTGTTTGGCGAAACAGGCTTTCCAACTGTAACTCATAGCAAAGCTGATTGTATTTGTGTTTGGAGGCGCAAAACTTTGTACCAAGTGATAGAAGTTTCATTAAAAGTAGAGTTCAGTTTCATACTTGAAAAATTGTGCACGTGCCTCTCAGGTATATGAGGGAAAGTAGATTGCAGCTTATGCTGGTTCAAGGTTTTTTTTAAGGTCAAACGCCTCTGCCGCACACGGTTTGCAGTGATAAACTGAACGTAATCCAGGAATGTTTGTTTCACGTCCATCGCTAACTCATCAATCACATGTTGGCTCTGCGCCATATTGCACACGAATTCGGCAATTTCGGATTGCACCTTGTCACTCTGGTTCCAAACATGCCGTCTAACCGTTTTGGCATTCGGGTAGATCCGACTGCAGCGCAATTGCTTCCAGAATCTGCTAGGATATTCCTTGCGTTCAATGCAATCATTGAAGAATTGTACACACGTTTTCGCTTCAGCAAGTCTAATGGAGAACTTAAGGAACTGATTTAGATCCTTCACCACTGAGAGCACTTTGCACGACTTCTGTTACTGGAAAATTCCAGTTTCACTATAAAGAACAAAAGACCGAAGGTAAGCAATTGTTTTCTATGATTTATCCTTAGACCCGTACAACCATATGGGCAAAATAGCAATGGTCGCAAAAGTGGATTTGATCAGTTCAAATGAGATTTGATCACGTACCGACCAAGGGTCTGAACCAGCAACAAACGACAAAGTAGGACAAAGGTGTAGCTGCTGAATGCGGAAATATATAACACAGTACCACATGGCAACGGTGGAGCTAGCTGTATGATATATGTTTCCTGGATTATGCTCAGTCTATTACTAGCGCCCGTGCACAATTGAGACACTAATCTCTAGCAAATTCACTGAGCCAGCATAAGCCGCAAGGTACGTTTCCGAACAGTCCAGGGCGGTACTTACACAACTTTTCTAGTTTGAAAATGGACGCTACAGCAGTCGAAGTTCTAATGGTTTTCTTAAAATGTACACTCATAGACGCAGGTACAATCAGCTCGATTGAGTTACAATTTTAAAGCTTATGTGATCAGACGAAAGGGTTAGTCTTTAGGTCGAATATGGATCTGCAACGTTTAAGTGTATTTTGGTGAGTCGCTGCTACCAGTATCCCAAACATCACGTTCGTAATCATGACCGTCTAACACGAAAACATGTAGATGGCCTGAAGGAACTAGAGCAATGGAAGGATGCCATCTTGTGCGAACCGGACAAGGGCGCTGGAATTGTGCGGATTGACAGAAAGAAAAATGTAAGACATCAGCAGTACGCCGATGCGCAGTACCGATGCTTCGCTGCGCGCAACCACTACCGTTCACACCTTGGCTAGGGATACTGCGAGGGTCGCCCGATTCCTACGCAAGCTCGAACGCGCGTCATTGGTTTACAAGGCAGGCTTGTGATTCTGAAGGCCACGGGCCGGAAGAAAAGACTACATAAACAAACTGACAGCAATGCTGCACGATAAGATACAGGTTTCTTGCAATACAAGATATATGAATCAAAAGGGACAAGTTAGGACACAGATCACTAAGAGCTTACAAGAACCTCCGACAAAGGTGAACATTTCAGCTGCATTGTGACACAAATGTTCCAAGACTTTATGGGTTACTAAAAATCCATTAATCCACTCCGGCATATTTTGTCACTGGTCAAGTCACCCTACCATGCTGTGGAGAGCCCGGTTTTCCGGAAGGATAAGTTTTTGGTCACGCTCCCAAGGAGAGCGATACAACCCAGATAAGT